CCAAACTGTTACGATCCCTTTTGTTGCCTAATCTGTTCATATATACATGTGCTTGTCTATATGTGTGTCCGGATGTTTGGGGTGGGTGATATGTAAGGATACAAGAATATATTGAAAGATAAGTACAAATATATGTATGTATGAATATATATAGAGGTTTATATCGGTGTATATATGCATAAATCGCTATCTTCTGTTATTCTACGTTGTGGGAATAATTTTACGACTTAAAAATTATACGCCATTTTTTGATGCGTAATTGAATTATTCAAAGGTTATTCCGATGTACAATTTTCAAATAATAAAAAAAAAAAACAGAACATTGGCCAATTATGGTATGTGTCAGAAAAAAAAGCATTTTGTGGGTTAAAAATTAAAAATCAAATATTTTAAGAGAAAATATTGAGACTTTTCAACCTATGCTTTAAGTGGGCCGTTTAATTATCATAGTAACATATCAAATCGAGATTTGCCATTTGGTGATGAGAAAGAATGCATATAAACTTTCAGAGCACTTGAGAATTGAATTTTTCTCCATTATATATATATATATATATATATATATATATATATATATATATATATATATATATGGAAGAAAAGGAACAGTCTGGAAAATGTATATCACGGTAATAAAAATGTAGTAATAATGGAAAAAAAAGTAGATTTCACAAAGGAAATTACGATGGGGAATATTTTCAGACGTTCAAAAGACATGCTTGAAACGCTCGAGTGCTGTGTTAGTGGGTAGTAAAAATGGCAGAGAAAAAAAATGGAAAATGGGTGTCATTTAAATGATGGAATTGTAGGGGTGAGAATTAATGGTGAAGAAAGAAAGTTAAGGAAATAAACTAAAAAAATTATAAATTTTAAAAGAGAAATATTATAATTGGAAAGAAAAAATTGGGAAAAGGAAGGAAGCAAAGATAAAATAAACAAGTATTGAAAGTAAAAAGAGGGTAAAAAATAATATGAAAAAGGAAGACAAGAGATTAAAAGTGTATTGTGAGGAGAAAAAGTGACAAAAATGAGTGTAAAAACCTTAAGAATTAATAAAATAGAAGAAAAAACGAATAAATGTTGGAATCTAGAATATAGTGAGAAACTGATGTAAAGTACTTTTTCGATTTCATTTCGGATGAGGTCATCAGCTTTTTCACAAGTAGCTTTGCTCTCCCTATTTTTTTCTCTTCCTCCTTTCGATTCCACAATATCTTGTAATTTTCTTCGCTTCTTATATTTGCTAATATTACGGATATTTGTCATATATAGCCTTATTTCCCAGTAACTTATTCGCGCCAGATAAGTAAAATCTGCAGGGAAACATATAAATATATCTACTCATACACGCATGCGCACCAGAAGCATATAAATATGTCTACTCATTCACGCATGCGCTCCAGAAGCAAACGTAGAAAAACTCCAAACGTACGAAAATTACTATATATAAGATAAACCTAATGTATTTACAAAAATCATGACATTACACACGTATACACATATAGAGTCAAAGAAGTTTTAGTAAATTCAACAAATAAGGTTTCTCTGTATAATTCGTTGTTCTGTTTTTTGTATTTTTTTTTTAAACATTGTTGCACTTCCGGGGAAATGGGACGCATAAGGTACCTAAACTTCATGTTCTTATTTTGTATTTTGTTAGAGTTATGTTAACTCTCTCAGTCATTCGTCGGTAATAAAAATTATATAAAACTTGTTCAAATGAAAACTTGTTGCCGTAATCAACACACACACACAAAAGCACATATATGCGTGTGTTTGTGCCTCTGTGTGTCTTTATATAAACAAATCAAAACTAAGGATGAGAAAAAGAATTATTTTATTATCAATTATTTTCAATGCTATATCCTTTGACAATGGACTTAATTTAAAAGAGACTATTAATAATTCAGTGAATATCTCAAGATAAAATCAGTTAGTATATTTCAGAATGGACGTCGCTGAGAAAGAGACTGCAGATAAACACCGGTTGTGGAAGGAAGTCACAAAATTAAATGAATGCATTATGGAAATAATATAAGTACATATTGAATCGAATAAATCAATCTTCAAATATATATGTACAGACTTAGAAAAATGTTATTCAATACATCTTTCCTTTGCGAAGACTCAGAGACTTCGTGCCGTTATTCCGATGATGGCAACTTTCAATAAGTTCTTAATATCATGAGACATTTAAATCGTGTGAGCTCGGAGGACTAGGGATGCCAGGTACAGGTTTATACCACTGTGGAAATCATGAAAAAACCCAAACTGGTCATCTTTCAAACGGCGCTTCATCACAGTTTCAAATACATCGATATAGGCGGTTTATTGTCTCTGAATAGAAATGGCTGACAGGAGATAAACTTGTTCACATAAACTCCCGTCCCGATTGTAGACAAACCATTCATTGTGAGCATCAAGGTGAGAACCAATGTCGGGTCGCTGGTGATTCACTTAAGTTTTCTGCTTTTAATTTTCTGGATATGTCGAAGTTCTCCAAATTGGTTTTCTCAGAGCATGTCAGGCTCCTTGGGATACATGAGTAACTTCAGCAAGATCTTCGATCTGATCATGTGATTCCTTTAGTTATTCTTCTTCGAGCAGGAACGTCCTTCTTCTCGATACGTTTTATTTTTATTATATGTATCTACACCAGAGGAAGCTGTGATGAAATTATGAGTGATAGTCGTCAAGGAAATTCAAGGCGCGTGGTTGAGGTGCTCTTGAACGAATCATGGCATATGACCGCTTAGATGCTTCTTTCTCTTTTCCTCACTGGAGGTCTTCAGATGGCCGCTACTTTTAACGCTATGGAGAAACTGGTTATCTCAGTATCTGTCTATATTTCTGAGATGAGGTATTATGTACACTATTTACATTATTCGGACTATTGATTTCATTTTTGTCGCTGCAATGACACATGGCAGAGTGGATAAAGGCGTTGATTAGATCCAGTGACAGGACTCAAAGAGTGTGAGTTCAATACCCGGTTAAGGCAGTGGAGAACTTTCAGAAGGAAATTAACAGAAGATAACTGATAACTGACATCCATTAAACATGGCATGTGGAACTAGAACAGTCTAGCCAGTGAGCGAAATAAAGGGTTCAGTTCGACATTCCAACCACCTAAAGAAGGCCTGAGCATACAACGGCCGAAACGTTGTAATAAATATGGCAACATAGATGAGGACAATTGTCCGAATAATGTAAATAGTGTGGTTACTTCAGGTATAGATATAGTTAGCTTTTAGTGAGAGAACCATGCTGTTTCCTTTCATTTCTTGTCATATATATAGCTGCTATGATAAATGTCTCAATAAGTCTGAAAGAGAAAGAGAATATCAAAATATGTTGAATGCATCGTAACATTACCTTACTTATACATTAGTACCTAGCTTATCGTATATATATATATATATATATATATATATATATATATATATATATATATATATATATATATATATATATATATGGGGGCGACAATAATGAAAAAAACAAGAGACCAACTCTTAATATTAATTATGAACACGGACACAATATGCGGACTGTGTTCGGGAATTAGAATATTTCTGTTGCTAAAAAATACATCTACACATGAAAAGCGAATAATGAAAATTATCAATTGAATTTATATATTGTCAGACATAGACGAATATATTGAGACAAGTAGAGAATGTGATCTCTCTCACACTACACACAAACGCACGCGCGTGCACACACACACACACACACACACATATATATATATATATATATATATTTATAATTTTTTTTTCGTGGATAAGTTACCCTCTGTAAATATGTCTGTCATTTTACCAAACAACCTTTCACTTTTGCCGATGCAAATTTATTTCGATTGACTTAAATAAAACTATCCGCTTTTAGGTGTATGTAGATGTGTTCATATTTGTGTCTAGTTAAAAGACGCTAAAGTTAAAACAACCTGTAAGCCAATCACTGATGGGCAGAGACAAACAAAAACCAACACTCAAGCACATATGTCCGTGAACTAATTCATCCACTTCAACTCTCAAGCTTTCACGTTCTTTCTCGTTTCTCTTCTCGCAGAATAGACATGAGCTTCTTAATGCGTATCAATTCCTTTAGCCATTTCTTTTCTAAATTTCCCGAATGTCACTATATTTCGTTTTTTCTTTCCAATTGATAATTCTTGTTTGTTATATATCTTAGTTTTCATTCGTAGTGTATACATCTTTTTTTTCTTTTTAATTTATTTTAGTTTTATTTATTTTAACAGTTTACTTCTTATGCTTTCACTAATCAATTCTCAACTTGTTTTTTTCTTTCATTTCTTGTCTTTATGCTTTAATCTTTTATTCATATTTCTTTATTTGTATTGGCACTTCCTCATTTTTTTTTTATTTCTGCAATTTTTTTTTCTTCCTTCTCTTATTCCTACTGTTTCTTTTTCCTTCTTTCCAAATCATTTGATTATATGCGTTATATCCATCTTCAAATGTCTTCTGTACTTTTTTTCTTTTCTTGAATTTTCTTTTTAATTTTTTATTTACTCCTTAAATATTTTTGGTAATATAATCTATTTCTTAACTACTTCCTCCTTTTCCCAATTAATCCACTCGATTCTTTCTTTACGCTTGGCTTTTCTATTTTCCCTTTTTTTTCTATCCCTTTTTTTTTTCTTCATTTCTTTCCACTTACGACTCCCTCAGCTTGCTATCTATTATCCACTACGCCACTTCCGCCTCCTCCCTAGCTTGACTATCGGAATTCCTCTTGCTCGAGGCGGATGAAAAAGGCAATTTCATAGACCCCCAGAAACATGTTGCGAATGTCTGGAACCACACGAAGCACTAAACACAATTTAATACAGCCACTGCTGGAATCTTGTGGTGATGGAATTGCGGAGATTGTTGCAATTAATCCACGTGGTATTTTAATGGACGTGGTGCTGGGTAGGAAGCGCCACTGGGCTTGACGTGCACATAGGAGTTATGTGGGTGGTTGTTTCTTTATTACAGCGCATTTAACAGATGCCTATGAGTCAACAGATGGGAGAAAACACCAGAGACAGACAGAAGATTGGGAAAGAGAGCGACAGAAATGATTGGCGGTAGCGACTGAAAGGGGGGAAAAGGAAAAGAATATTTCAGGAGGAGAATTAAAGAAAAGAAAAGAAGAAAGAAAGGACTAGACAACGAATAATTGAGGAGGAGATAGAAATGGAGACTTAGTGAGAATGTACAAGAGTAACGGAGTGTTATGAAGAGAAGTAATTTAAACAAGAAAGAAGATTCGACAGCTGGATAGAAAAGAAAGAAAGAAAGAAAGAAAGAAAGAAAGAAAGAAAGAAAGAAAGAAAGAAAGAAAGAAATTACTAATTGTAAATTAAATAAAAGGAAAAGGAAAAAAACGCGGGTGAATTTAAAGCAGAACTGTGTAAAACAATAAAAGGAAATAAAAGAATAAAAATGCCACCTTTTTGCTTAAAAAAAAAATTATAAAGAAAATAACCAACATATGATAAATCCACGTAAAAGTAAAGTAAAAAAAGTTTAACAACTGAACGAACGAATGCATTGGTCAAAGTGAAGATATGTGTGATGGAGTTGCAAATCGGGAAGACGAAAAATCGAAATGGAAAAAGGCAGGGAGCAAAAAGCGGACAAAAGGAAACCAAAAGAATTCGGTAAGGGAGCCTGGAGGGAAATTTATTTTTATAAGGAGAGGAGAAAGCTAATGAGAAAACATTTGCAAGCCTTAAAAGAAATAAAGAAAGAAGGGAGTAAAGAAAGAAACATGGACAGAAGGAAAGAAAGAAAGATAGAAAGAAAGAATGAAGGAAAAAAATAACATTTCCTACGAGATCAAATAAGAAATGAAAAGAATAAAAATATGGCCTAAAAGGAGGGAAAAGACAAAGTAATGAGAGAAAGAAAACATGTCAAATAAGGATTAGTAGAATTCAAATAAGGAATAAACAATTATGAATAATAAAAATTATTTAGAAGGTAAACATTTTTTTTCTGGAATAATGCCACAATGTTTAGGTAGATAATTAAACTCAGTGTTCCCTTCTGTTAAGTTCATTATTCCTGGTCTGGGCGCCCTATGGACAGGAAAAAAAGTATATGAAAAGAAATTATCTAAAAAGGCAAATTAAAATACCACATGCATAGAAATCGGTTTTGTGTATAGATAGTTTACATGTTTTGGTCCAAAATGTCATTAATAAATAGTATAAGTCATGCATGATTTCTTGGCGGTAACGGAAAATCGAATTAGCTTGACACAGCACCTATTACCTATTCTGACTTTCTATCATGATGTAGGTCTTCCCAAGGAACATCGACAAAACTCAAAATATTTTGGTAGCGGCTAAATCAATACCATCAAGTTTCTGTTGTTCATATTATGGAATGTGAACATATAGAAAAGATTTAATTTACTTTATATGGCTTTTACGTTCACTTTTATACCATATAAGATATGAAAAGCCATTTTGTATCGCGAAACCTTCACAGAACTGAAATGATGATGCAAGCGATGATATTATCCTCCTTAAATTTGATGGCCCTTCCCAATTTCCTTTATTTGTCAGTTATCTTTAAAATATCATGAATGTCTTTGGGAAAACAATGGTGGCATTTCTCGTTACTTTCTCTGTTTTGGGATTCAAAATCTTTTTTTATATTGATTGAGGACAATCAATATAAAAAGATTTTGAAGCCCAAAACAGAGAAAGTAACAGAGAAAGTCAAGCTAGCGAGCACATACTACAATACTATGACTAATAAATTATCTCCAGCTTCAAATCTATCTCTTACTAATGAATGATTTTGAAATATCATTTTAATACAAAATTTAATCGACATTGCACGGTTTATAAATTTAGAAAGGGTACTCTGGGATTTGTAATTAATACATTTGAAATCAAATTTAATTAAAATTACAGATATATAGGTTAAAATTATATTAGAATACATTGTTTTTTGAACGACCAGCGTGTTCTTTATTTGAATAAACAGAACAAGTAATAGGTTATATCCGTAAGTTAAAGATGAAAACGTTTATGTTTTTACACAACCAGATATGTTGCCTTCTTTGTCAATGCTCTTGATACAACTATTCTCTCTAGATCGTAATGATTGAATTTTATTCAATGAATTTAAGATCAAAATTAATCTATAAGATACACGAACTTATTGATCCACCTTTGTAAATAGATAGATAGATAGATAGATAGATAGATAGATAGATAGATAGATAGATAGATAGATAGATAGATATTAACATACTGAAAAAGATAAAGAGATATGAACATAGATATGATAGATAGATAATATCCTGATAGTCCGAGAGGTAATCTAATAGTATGGCCCATACCTGTTGCAGCACAGGTGGAATAATACTTTGTCACCCTAAGCTATCAAGTACATGCAGACACCCTAAAAACCACCTGTGACTACGTTACAGAAGGTTGCAGAAGACGATGTGATCATTGTGACCCGCGCATAAATGCTGATACTGTTGTCATCACTCAACAATTGCTGTCCGGTTGTAATGTCAAGACGATTATAAAACGCCCAGTGTGATTGTTGGAAGAAAGACAAAACAAGTAACTTTATTTCCCACTTGATAATTACGCTAGATTTGGCACTAACTCAAACACCGCATGAGCGATGAGCAAGTCCAAAGATGGAAAACAGATGCGTTTAGAGATCCTCGCTGCAGTAAGGACGGCGCTGTCGGGAGTCTGTTCGCAGGGCTCAAGTATTGATTGTCTAACCAAACCAGCCTTGTTATGCAAAATTTACACTCTCAAATATCGACCTCGTTGTGTTTTGACCCGCGTGAACATCGTTGTCAAAATCTTGCATGCTTGCACGCGGAATGATTTAGCGTTCAACGTATGCAGATTTCGCCTTTGCTTCGTACGAAGGCAACGAGTATGTAGAGTTACGAAATTAATTTTACGGAGGTGTCATACATTGGGAAGAGTGCTGTATCTGTGATATAACAGTCAGTTAGTGAAGTCGTTACATTAAAACATTGGGGGGCGAATAGAAGCGAAATATCATAAAGTTTCATCGTCGTCAATAATATATAAATCGCAATATTTGCGTGTCACGTCATGAACAATTTTCTTATGCCAAGAATATTGAGCAACCGTAATCTTAAGCCTTTTGTTCCTTCTTCTTTTCCGTTTAGACGATCATGACCCCCACAACTTCCTATTATTTATAGCTCTTAGTAACCTTTATTTTTTTCTATCACTCCTTCCTCCACACAAACTCATTAAATGTCTCTTCCTATTTCCCTCGGTCTCTCTAGCCTTTAGTATGGACTGAAAGACTTAAATTAGGGACCTACAAATTTCAAATGTCTCTTTCCGATTCTATGGATAAGTGTCCATTTCGATTTGCAATTTACTTAAAACTTCCTCGTTAATTATATTTTCCGTCCATGACATTCTCAAAATTATTCTATAGAATCGCACGTCTGTTGCCTCAAGTCATCTTTCATCTGTGAGGAAATTTTTCAGCATTCATTGTTATATTGGAGCACTGATATTACATAGCAGTTGAGCAATTTTCTTTCCAACTCCGGGGTTGTTAAGACAGACGACCGATAACTTCGTCTTCCGAAATAGGCTAATCCCCGTATGAAATCATTTTGGATTTTTATGGTTTACTGATTATTTGCTTCGAAATATTAAAGACATTGCACTCTTTTTGTGGATCAGTTTTAATACTTTATATTACTAGGATTCACTTAGATTATATACTAACATTTACTATTAGACAGATTCAAGCTTACTATATATATATATATATATATATATATATATATATATATATATATATATATATAAGTGGACATTGTTTCTCGGAGTTTCTTATGAGTATTAATTTACTTAGGTCCATTTTCATCATTATATGCATGAAAAAGTCCAGCGGTCTCTTTTCTGATTGTAGGTATATTTTTCCAATATATTTTCTGCAAAACCTTGTCGTTGCTCATGAATTCTGTCTATAATTTTCTTAGCATACGTCACGAGAAATGCATTTCTGTTGCGTCAAGCCTCTTTTTCATCTGTGCCCAGATGTCAAAGCATTAACTGCCATACAGAACATTAGAAATTTACTTATCAATTTTGATCTTTTTCTTTGTTTCTGATTATACTTCCCTATTTATTAATAGCTTGTTTTCCGGAAGAAATGTTTTGATATTAATGTCAATGTTTTTGGATTTAGCGGTCAGATTTTCAGTCTTTTGTGACAGTTGAAGATCATAGATTTTATCTTGTTGCAGTTAATATCTATTCTAAGTGAACTGCCGAAATCCGTACTCGCATTTATTAAATTTCTCTTCGGCGTCGCTTCGAAACGCAAAATGAATTCTTGAATGAAAAAATAACTTGTATTGCAAACAAAAAAAAATAATATTCTTTTTTTTAAGTCAAGACACACATTGGTGTAAAAAATAAGGCTATTCCCATTAATATGTTGGTCTAACTTGAAAAAAAAATATTATGAATATTTCTTAAGCGTTTAATATGTATCTATATCTCTGACATGAGTTACTCTGATTACTTGCATTATTTACATTATTCAGAGTGTTAACCTCATCTTCATTGCCATATTCACAACGTTTCGGCAGTTGTACGCTCCGGCCTTCTTCGGATGATTAGAATTTCGACCCAAACCCTTTATTTCGCCCACCGGGGTTAGGGTTAGATTGTACTAGTTCCAAGTGCCATTCCTCTTCCAGATGTCTCAGTTATTTCCCTTTACCTCAACTTTTCAAGTTTTGGTTCAACACTGCTGTGGCCTGGTATTGAACTTACAACTCTTTGGGTCTCATTGACCCATGGATCAGTGGAAAAAGACATTGGTTAGATGCACTGAATAAATCCAAAGTGTTGTTAGTTAAATATGAGGATAGCAGTCCAAATAATGTAAATAATGCTTTATCTTTCATGATAAAGAGGTGCGATAGAATCTATTTTGAGAGTAGCTTAGAGACTACACTGACCTTTAAGAGGAACGAAAAAAAAACTTTATTGTAATTACCGGAATGATCCAATAAGTTCTTGTTCCCAAACCTGAACTCTCGCTTTTGAAGAAGTCAAAGAATAGCGTCAGAACATATAACCGTCTTGTAATATACTGGCTGTAACAGCAAAATTGTCTAATTGTTAGATTAAACTTTGATTCGGTTTTATTTTAAAAATGATTAAAGATATCTTACTGGAATTTTCCAAGGTTTTTATAACACTATTGTACTCTATTTTGAACCGTTTATTAATATTAATTTAGAATTTATTTAGCTCTAAATTTAAATGATTATCACTCTTGCTGTTTTGACCGCCTGATACAGTTTTCTCTCTAATGATCCCTGTTTTTAAAATTTACTCCCCGTTCTCTTGATGGTTCTTGAACGGACTTTGAAGATGGAAGCCAGAGTATGAATGCTGGTACCGTTACTGAAGGCCTGAATGTGCTTTTTCATCTTGCTCAGCTGGGAAGACATAGTGTCACTAACACAAAACAATTTTAACCTGTTCGTTTCCAGCTGAATAACTCAAAGGAGTTTTCAGAGATTCTTACGGAAAATAGGGCCAAGATGGCTAAACGTCTTATATAGACGCACGGAAGAAGAAACTCGGTTAGTTTAGTGATTGTTTAGGTATGAAACATTTTGTGGGATAGGCAATTATTCCATGCTGCTACATGATTTGCACAATTTGGCAGTTATATCTGGCATGTTGGTTTTATCGGATTTTATCCTATAAGGATGTTAACAACGTGTTTACTGGATACACACTTTTGCCAAACACACTGTTAATTATATATCAAGTATCTTCCTACCAAGTCCCCTGCCTTTTAATCTTATGTATCGGCGCAACATGGCTAAATAGGTGTACGTAGCTGGACACGCAGGCACGTTTGTAAAGACCATTTAGAAACGGACAAATACTGCATAATTTATTCACTGTTTTAAACCAGTTTAACTCATCAGATATGTTTTTCGTGAATGATTTTCTTCCAATTCAGTAGGACGTTTCCAAATGAGAATATCAAATCTTATCCAATAACTAAGAAGGATGAAAGCCTTATTATCATTAAAAGGTGAAATTATATTTCCCTTCTGCTGATCTCTTATTAATCATAAATTTCTACCGAAAATCTTTTCCCAGTGGGCGCTCTTTACGTAATCGTCTTCTATCTGTAACTAATTTGGAATTCGGAAGGACGACGAATGCAGAAGGATCACTTCACCCTTTATTGTTGTAAAAATATATACAGAATCCATATATGTTAATGCCTATTATGGTATAAACAAATACATATTATCGTATAATATTTCTAACAATGCATATTATCGTATATTTCTGTATCTTATTTTTATGCACGCAATCAATTTGTTTTGGGAATAACATATTTCATTTGCACCAGAAAAAAAAAACAAGACTTATGATTATTTCATTCGACATCAAACCCAATCGCATCTAAGTTGACGGCATTCAGCTCTTGTGCGTAGGTAGGACTTCAATAAACACACGTGCCAGTTGAGCGTGTATATATATATATATCTTTCCCTGTATCTGTAAAGGTGTTGGAATAATATCAAAAAGATTATAGGGATTTTTGATTAAAACTTAATAGCTACTCTCTGAAACAAATCTTTTATAATTCATGGCAAATTTAATTTTATAAAATCGTTATCAATGATTAAAAGATGAATGTTTGGATTCATTTCATATTTCTTCTTATCTAAATCTTTTAACTACTTTAATTTATAATTTTAATTAATGCATTCTTAATCTTACCTTTAATGCATTTGCTGAAAATATAAATCGCAATTATACTCTGGAATATATTTGTTATTAGTTACTAAGAGGATATTATTTAAGAACGGGAAGTGTTTGACTTGAAGGCTGCAAACGAGTAAGGTTACATTCTACGAAAAATGATGTAACTGTTTTAATTATAAATAATTACTAACCTGTAATTATTGTATTTTATCGAATTACTCATATATATTTATGTATTAGAATGCGTTTATTATGTGGAGACAATTTGCAGATGTCATTTTCTTCAAGTTTGGTCATGAACTCTGCCAGTCTGTGGCATTTGAACTGTTGTATATATTGAAGAAGAAAGTATGGAAGGGCAATAACAGAACAAGACTCACTAAAAACGTGTAATTTCATGATGCAAAGATACAGAATGATGACGACGACAATGATTGGCTGATAGTTTTTGTTTAGAGGCATAACAATATCAATGGGTTATATAATGACGCAATCTAAATATTTTTTACGCAACTACATATATTTTGTACATAATTTTATACTTTCCGGCTAAACGTATGATT